AAAATAATTAAAAGAGGAGGGGGGAGACGGCGTGCAGGTTGCTGCCCAACCTAATGTTAAACTAGGCGATCTAGGCCCTAAACTATACGATAGATTTGATTCTCTCGCATGAGGAAAAGAACTCTTCAGATACTGAAAACGATAGTGAAGTAAATCTCTTTGCTACAGAAGCATTTGGTAAGATCTTTGAAGGCTTAGCAGATTGTTTGACTTCTCCCAGAAAGACATCAGAGGTAATAAGAAAACTGAAAAAACCTTTGTGTCAAGTAGTTTACTGCAATTGGATTATTAACACAGCTTTCGGTTGATTTGAATTCCAGGATCTGGAATTATGTCGGAATGTAATAATGATCTTGGCCTTAGCAGCTTCTTCAGGAAACTCTGGCTATGAACTGCTCTCAAATCACAAACTACCTCAAGATACCAACTTTTTAATGGTGATACTTCATCTTTTAGTTGCAGAAATAGACTCGGAATCAACAGAGTTTCGTCCAAAAGCGGAAATCTTGAAAGCGAGGTTTGTTCTACACCCGGGTGATTTACAACTAAATTTTTTAATCTAATGACTTACAAAAATCTATTTGTTTTACTGGTGCAGGACATTATTGATGAGAGAGATACTGATATTACTAAACAGACTTGTCTCTGGCTTGTCAAGCTCTGCTACTATTCTAAAAGAACTAACAAAGAGCAGAGACATGGCGAGTCTAACAGTTGATGCAGCCACAAGATTATCCCGTAAAAGAAACTTACTAGGACAACCTGAAAACAGTGTTCAGAGAATGAGGAATACAGAAATCATGGATTTAGCCCGCATTTTCAAGAGACGGGTTTTCGCCTTCTTAGGCGACAATACTATATAAATACAAACATTATCGGGGTTGTTGAGTTCATTGAGTTCTCTTTTTTGAGCATAGAGAACTGCTAATTTTGATTGAAGGAGCATAGTAGATTTGAAATTGTCTTCAGATTAACACGCTAATATTATTAGATTTTTGAGTAAATGATACTTTTTTTCTTTCTTTAGAACTGGGTGTGTTATGTTCTGTCTTAAATTCATAAAATGGTGTACCAGTAGTATATATATATATGGAAGCAAGAAGCTTAAGAACAAAAAACGAAGAGAAGAGGAACTAAAGCAGCTTCCAAACACGCTCAAAAAAAGAAGAAAAGGGAATATTTTTATGTTAATTGGGAGAGGTTTTGGACTGTATTAAAAAAAAAAGAAAAAAATTTCTACAATGATTTAGACATTGAAACAGTGAGCACAAGAGAGAAAAACGTTTTTGAGAATTTGTGAGATTTCAAGTTACACGTTTAAGATGCGTCCTAAATGTTTTTTTTGTTTCTAGAATCTTTGAATGGCGTTCACTTTGTGATTGCCAGGGGTTGATGTAGGTGCTTTGCATTGCAGGCAAACATCGGTTTTGAGCTAAATGTTTGTCTTAAGATCAAGTAGATCTGTAACGTATTGCTTATGATGCTCTCTTATGAAATGTTGAAAAAGAGTTCTCAAATTTTGTGTGTTTTTCCTAACCTCTTCAAAAAAATTATCTTCCACATCATATGTTGCAGATCTAATATTTCATGGGTTTAGTCGTCCCTTAGAGTAAAAGATATATATTCATGTTTCTTGATTTCCAAATTCTCCATCATAATAAAAAAAAAAACAATTAAGTAATGGTTTCGTTTTTTCATCGACACATCATCTTTGACATATATCCTCTATGTTTATCCCATAAAAAATTGGTCACAAATCTCTACTTATTTTTATAACTTTTAAGACCATCACTGATTAGTGATTATATATAATACTTGTGATTGATTTTTTTACACGTCTTATAATTTTGTAAGAAATATAAAGCAAGACGTGGGATCATTTCATAACTTCATTAACCATAATTGAATTTTTCTTTTCTGACGCGTCCGATCAAGACACGTGAGATACTGATTTTATTTATTGTATATGCTTTTGGTTCTATGATTGTTAAATTAAGATATACTTTTTAACAACATTTGGCATGTTCGCTATACATATATAGCTCTCCTCTGGTAATACTAAATCAGTAAGTTAATTTCTTCCTCATTAACATTATTAGAAAAGTTTTTAAAAATGGCTCAATCTCTTTCTCTTTCTAGACGTTTCTCTTATTTCATCTCTAACACAATTTCACGGTAAGATCCTTTTATTTTTCACTCCCAAAATCAATATCCATATTTTTATGATCATTAGTTTAGGAGATATACAGTACGTGACTTATGAGGGTTTTGATTGAATATTGTCAAACCGTTTCATGATGGTGTCTATCTTTAAAAATTTTAATAATCAAATTGTCAGTAATTGTGATGGTGGATACCAGATACGAAGCCCGGTTACTACAGACCGGATACTGGTCGGTCCGCAGTGTTGAATCATGAGAAGCACTAATAATTTTATATATTAAACGTTTTAGTGTATGCATGTGTGAATATTTTTTCATATGAAACAAAAGCGACGACTAATCTAAGGGAAAAAGATTCATGGTTTTGATTTTGATTGTGAGTATGTAACATTCAAGTAGTCACTATGTATTATATCAAGCATCAACATTAAAAGGTCCCGAAAAAGCAAGCATGATATGATATATGACTTGGGGATGATTCTGATCAAATTCTTAGATTTTGCAATCGATCCTACCGACAAACAAGCCCTGAAAACCTTGTGAAGGTGTTGCAAAAGAGTCCCGAAAGCATCTTTCTGCGGATTAGCTCTTCTTGATTCCTAACGACGAAACTCTTCTTGTGAAGGTGTTGCAAAAGAGTTGCTCATTTTTAAAATTTTAGCCCCGTTGCTTCACTTTTTTCCATTCAATAATGTTAGTCAGTGAGCTACAACGCTCGCAGCATACCAAACTAACCTAGACTGATTTATTGTTTGCTTTGATTCATTATACAATGTGGAAATAAACTCTTAAGGGACGACGGAGTTTAACAAAACGGTTATAGTGGGGATCTTGTTCTTTGTTTGGGGATCTTGCAATAGGAATGGTACGGAATCTCAGAGGATTTTGCACGCATTCTTTGTCGAATCTTGAAGAGTTCTTTTGCAGTTGCAGTCACTGATAAGTTAAAGAGTATTAAAAAGAGTTTATGAAACTGGAACAGAGGAGAGAGAGCCTATAATAAGAAATTAAAACTAATCTTTTTTTTGTTGTTTATTAATACAAGATAAATGGAAATCTATGCTAATACACAGTAATGTTACAACATACCAATCTCCCAACTCAATGGAAGATGGCTACAGAATCAGATTCACAGTCTGACCTGTTTTCAC